TGCTGAGACCTATTGGTACGTAAGTCATACTCATTGCCTTCTCGTGGCAAGGGTGTTGTCTACGAAATTGAGAGGATGAAAAGCGAATTTCCGGTGTTCTAACCGGGTCGGTCGACACAGAGGGTCCACTTAGGTGATTTGGAAAACCCTGATTCTAAACCAATGGTGCACATAGGCCTCAGGATTCGGAAGGAATAAATGGCGTATGGACTTATTGTTGGTCACTGGCTACCATGCGACTGTATCTACTAACGTCACTACACTAACTTGTGGATTAGACCTTCTGGTTAAATGCTCCAGGTGCGGCCCCGTAAGAAAACCACCTGCTTCGGTTTTGGCACCCGTGCAGTATCACAGCCCTCACACAAACCAAATGATGATTAATACTGGAAAAATCATTCTTGCTTCAACCCGCATTCAGACAAATCCCACTCACGATCATTTAACAACATTTCTTTTATACTACGTCATTTATGTATTCCTCTATATTCTCATTTTACGTATTTTATTTTTCAACCTATACAGCAGCTCGCCTATGGTGGAAACCCTATTCCCTTAAAACGATTTCGAGTCACTAATAAGTCGAAAGTTGCATGCTACAACCGAATACGAATACTGAAACATTCCTTCGGAAACCTCTTATACAATCTGAACTTACCTCCAATGTTCGCACACTAATGCGGATCGGACAAAAAATAGGGTTGGTTATGTCTTTAGAAAGTCTCAACATCGAAGTTTATTGTCTATTCGAGATCTGTTTCCAAGACCCAAATAAGGACTACAAATTCGCTCTCCATCTGTCGCTTTGAAATGCTTGTATCACATGCGTTTATCTGGGGACACTGTGGCATCTTCGTCCGGTTTTGTTGGCGTTGGTGCCGCACTATGCACTGAAGCAGCACTGACCGATTGGATCCTTATTAACAGTCGGTTATGTGCTGTTAGATTAGAAAGCTCCATCATACTGCGAAGAAATCGGTGTGAGAAACGATGTCTTTTTGTCATCTCCACCTAAACTCCAACAGATTGCAGTTCGTATGCGATCAATGATGAGTTCTACCACCAGTGAATTGTTCTTCCATAGAAAGTGCTTTCGAATGATATTGTAGTAATAGCCGGAGACTTGAATACTCAGGTCGAGCGTCTAGATACAGAAGAGAGTCATTTAGTTGGTTGATGGGAACTTGTTGATTGCAGGTCAGATAACGGTGACCGTCTACTGCAACTATGCACAGACTACAACCTGTTTCTGGCTAGTACTAACTATCGGCACAGTCATCGCCGATGTGCCACCTGGAGTCCTCCCTCTGCATCCCAAGCCTGGACTCAGATTGATCACATCGCGATCAGCTACCGCTGGCGTGGTTGTGTAAAAGAGTGCCCCTCCTTTTGGAGTACCTATCTGGACTCTGACCATGCCTTTGTTTGCGCTAATCTTACCTCATGTTTCGGTGGTCAACAAATTTATCGCCGTAAATGGATCGATATCAGTAAATTGTTAGCAGCTTCTGTTGCAACTAAATATAAAAACGAGGTTGGCTCAAGGCTAGATTTCAGCCTACCGAAAAGTATAGACGAGCATTGGTTCCGATTACATGACGTCATGAAAATGGCGAGCAAAGTCGCTTGCGGCTTCGCGAAATGTCTCGCTCTTAAGCACTGGGTTTCTTCAGGTTCATTACAACCCATTGGGACCCGTCAGTTTTTTACGAGTGACCACGAGTATGACCACAAACGACGACTGTTACGCAATGAAATTGGGCAAAGCTTGCGTAATGATCGAGAAACCTGGTGGTTGGAATGTGCTAATGAGTTGGAAGCAGCAGCTGGATCTGGTAATTGTCGGAAGCCCGTTCAACTCATCCGAGTCACTGGCAGCGAGGAATCTGGTGTGGGCGAAACAATCTGTGGAGATGACGGCTGTTACTAACATCTATCGAGGTCTTGCATGATGGGCAGAGTTTTTCAAGGAGCAGTTCAACTGGTCTGCTTCACCAGCAACATATATCAGACTGCCCTACCCTTAGTGGCCTGTGATGACTGATCCACCTAACGAGGCGGGAGTTCGCGAGAAGCTCCAATTTCTGAACGCCACAAATCACCAGGTTCAAATGACTTGTCTTTGGTCCTTTTTTAAGATGACTGTGAATTACTGGCTTAGGAACTGACTTAGTTGTTTACAAAGGTCTAACAGTTGGAGAGTGTTTCAATATTATGGAATAAGTAGATAATTGTCCTTGTCTTTAGAAAGGGTCCACGTCTTTTTGTAACAACTATCATGGGATAAGTCTACTTTTGAAAGCGTCCATACCATTGGCTTCCGTCTGACTTCGTAGATTTTTCAAAACCTGAGAAAAATTGACTCGTGAGGAGCAGGTTGGTTTTCGTTCTGGTCGAGGATGTATCGATCATATCTTCACCCTCCATCAAATGTTAGAACACCGTCAATACTTATCACAAGACAACAATCGTAGTGTCTCTTGAGATTATGGTCGCTTTCGGTACGCTGGACAGGACTGTTCTCTGGGGTTGTCTATTGAAGAAGGGTGTGCCTGAGAAGTTTGTTAACATGATGACGGAATTTCTATACTGTATTGTTCTCAGTGATTAATCTGTCCTAATATAGTTATTAGTAGTCTATGGCCTAAATCGATTGTTGTCACCATAAAACAAGATTTGGCGTTAAATAATGGAGGCATGGGTTCAAGAAACAGTGGATATTACACGTTCATAAGTACTAATGGGAAAGCAATCTAAGTTTACGACTTGGAACTTATCCCCTGCAGTGTTTACATATTAGGTTTTGAGTACAATCAGCATGGTTTTTGAGCTTCAGGAAACTTCTATAACTTAGAGCCTTAAATGAATTTATTAAAAGCAGATAATAAAACTCGTTTAGTTTTGGATTGATTCATTCTAAAAATCTTCGACCCACTTCAATTAACTCATATTTTGTTTCTATGATCTCACAGAAATATTCTTAGACTTTAAAAAATCTTAATCATGGATTCAACCCGTTTGTTGATTGATAGCGTGTACCGTCGAGATATCCTCAACTAGGATAAAACAAATAACTCATAATCCACTGCTCTCAATGGTCACATATCAAAAGCTAAATATCATGAAAACTATTTTAAGATTAGTGATCTCTTGAATAAGCCATGTAATCAATTGGTCAACCCACATCACTGTATATATTAGTGTGGGATTCCTAATGCTTTAACAACGATTAACCGAAGTTTTTTCATTACAAATAATGGCACCCATGACTGTAATTGTGTTTTCGATCCGAAATGAAATATTTTAGATAGCTATGTGACATTTCGAACTTCTATAACCCCGGAGAGAGATTTTAACGATATTAGTGTGTCATATGAAACGTAGAACCTGGCACATTCGTGCATTAGTTTTACTTGCCACACCATATTAATTCAGAGGGCTGAAATTATCAAGGCGAATCCCACAGTAGTATAAATAATAACAGTATCTGTAATAGTAGAAAACATTTCGTATAAAACGAAGAAAGAAAGTATCAAAATCTAAGGGAAGAGAAGTTCGGTCCTTGCCACCCGACGTCCGCAATCACTTGTTACGATAGTCATGCAAGCCCTAACCAGGGATTCTCCACCTAATTGCACGGCTCTGTTTAATAGACAATGACTTTGATAAATTGATGCTAATCGTGTCAAATGTTCACAAAATCAATAAAAGCTTGGATCTAAGGTTAACTTTTCATTTATTTTTCCAAACTAAGGTGAGTCAATGCACGCACACTGAAACGGATTGTTCTTTAATTTTAACTAGCTCGTATAGTTCGATAATATGCATGAGATGGATCTTCGTTTAAATTCGAAAGATTGAATTAAGAGCATTACTGGTAGACTGAATTAAATGGTTTACTAACGGAAAGTTTTAAGTGACGCACTGTTATATTGAAAAATTATATTATATCATATTATAAACTACAGTCGATGGCGAATGCATATTTTTTCATGGATTTGAATTATTCTTTTAACCGGCGATAATTATTCATAACGTACAGAAATGATTTTTCACTAATCCATTTAAAAATATTATCCAGTTAAATTCACTTATGTTAAGTATCAATGCTGGAAGCAATATAATTGTTAGATTTATGCTAGTTCAACAAATATAATAGATATTTTGTCCAACTGAAAGTTACTGTACAATTTGAAAGCATAAAGTTTTTAGGTCTTTAGTCATACGACATATTTAACAGATGTCAACGATTTAGACATCGAACGCAATAAACGGGTGAGCGAGCAATGAATTTCACTGTCTATATATGGGCTGGGGTCATCATAGACGTTCGATTAACATAACCACTAAGCTACAAAGGTTTTGCAAATATTTCATGGATAAGAGTAAGAAACTAAATGAAACAGAGGTTTAAGATTATCAAAAGCCTTTTAGTGAGACATCCAATCCTATCTGGCAACAATGATCCTTATGCATTAATGGTATTAGCATTAAGAATAGGCGATTTGATTAACAAAAATGTCATAAATGAAATCTAAGTTAAGTTTAATCAACCATTTAGATAGAAAGATATTCAATGTAACCTGTTGAAAAAAAACAATTGTAGGTTATTAATCGTCATTTTGTGAGAGCCACTAGCAGCATCGATCGATAAGCTCTTTGATTTTTACCTACAAACCAGCTCACATGGGTGGAATGAATAAGCAACCTATCCTACTGAACTATTATGGATTTACTGTTAGGTTTAGCACGCAAATTAATGTACGTAAATTAACTGATGTTAGTTTGTTCAACGAAATAATGTCATAGACAAAGGTAATAAGTTTGTTCCGAGAAAAAGCATAAATGTTAATAGTAATAATGCGTCATAATACGTATGATATTAATAGGATAGTACAGTTTACGATTACCATTCAATAAAAGAGAACAGTCAAGTAAACGCTCTAAACAAAATACCCATTGTAATTAAAATTTAATACTTAAAAGAATTATTCACTCACTGAATCTGTCATATTCTGAAGATGTCATAAAACCATTCTGGCATTAACACATTTTATGGATTTTCTTTTTTCTATGTAAAACACCTTATTTGTTGGTAGATTGTTGTACCCTATTAGCTAATCTGGTACATTGTGTTCGGCTATTCAAACTATTAATTGTTCTCTCTATCACGCATTATCTTATTAACCAATCGTTATTTGGTTTCTAGGTCATTGGAGTGAGAGACAGACAAGAATGCACTTAAGGAGGGCAATTAGAGCAACGAATCCACTCAGCCTTGAAGAAGCCTGGTGAGAATATGAAAAACGATCATATGTGGTCTAGCGAAGAAACAAACTGACATTATTGTGATGAATTGAACAACTTTGTAATCGTTTTCGGAAACGTTTATCTCTACTCAGATGGCATTTGTTTATATACATGCTTCACTTTATATTTGCTGTTATTAATCGTTTAAAAAGTTCTGATTATGTGAAATAAAATTTTTGCTGAATTTTCGATTAACTCAATTGTCCAAGTGACAAGACTGAAAAATCCACAGTTCTTCTGGTCTAACCATGATGATGGGTAAGACTGGTTTTGCAAAGAAGTCTGTTTATGTTCCACTTATGAAATTATGGAATTGGGTAATTTCGTAGAAATAAAGAGCATCCAGCCCTTTTTGTCCCCATGTTAGATACTACATATACTCGTTATAGGTATTAACAAATGAAGTTTCTGAAAGAAATTAATCATTTTTCTAGTTTCCATGCAACCAATTCCCTTTATGAAATTAGGCAGCGCAAGAATAACAAAGTTTTCAGATAAAATCTATGTTTATTCTATTAAATGACTACTCATCAGCTCCGAATAGCGTAAAGTAATAACTAATGTTGTATGTTATGAACAATGGTCTAACGTGGTTGACTGTAGTTTCAATGAATATTGGAAACTAAACCAAAAAGTTAGTCAGAAGGACAAAACAAAATCTGTGACGTGGATTTGTATGTTAAAACTTTTTGACGCAGAGTATAATATGTGTTATGGCTCTTAGTAATTTCAATGAGGATAGAAGGTGATTATGTAAGGGTAACGAAATTAATAAATGATTACATGACGACACCAAACGTGACCGAAAAATTAGTAATTATCCACCAATAGAATTTTGTAAGACGAAAATCAGGAGACTAAGACAGACCAAAAAATCACATTTTTCTTCCGAATACATAGGTCGAGTTGGAAACTATATATCGATCTCGGTAACGTCAGTAGAATTAAGATTACTAAATTCGTCCATCGGATATGACTCAAGAGATCTAAATCTTTTGAGAAAACATTACTGAAGGCCTTAATGAAGAAAGAAACATGAAGAATTAACTGAACCTCTGGAGAATCTGTCAAGCAAGTATGAAAGTGAAGCTACTCATTAAATAATTGGACAAGTCTCTATAAGTAACCAACTAAACATCAATGTGAACTCGCCTACACGTTAAACAGTTATGATTTTATTCGATTGATAAACTTTGATTATTTCAAATAACAACTACACGTAGTATGAAGGTTATTATTTTCACTTTACAGTGGCCAATATAATAAAAAGCTTGCATGAACAACGATTACTATTAATACGAAAATTACACAAGTCATGTTTTATGATGCATTCATTTGATTTATCACTCGCGCATCAATTCAGTCTTCAAATAAAAAACATCAATATTTTCCCTAAGCATACTAGAGGAACAATTAAGGTTAAATTTGCAACCTATTCCTAATGCTTATCTGCTTTATTAGCGAAATCAAATCTAATTAAATTGAGCTTGAACCTATATTCGTATACACTTATTTTAATGTATTTGAACAAATCAAAATAATACTTTTCGTTCCGGACGTTAAAATATCAATCAAAGGTTGATAAATAATAATTTTTTTCCTAACTTGAATTGTTATCTAAAAATCAATAAGTTGGTATCACATGTTTAAATCAAACATGAAGATGATAAGCCTTGTCGATTGAACGCTATATTTATTTCCTAAGCTATTCCGATGACCCGCACACTAGAACTATACAGCGACTTGAACACCAGAGAGAAAACGCAAGTACGAGAGAAAATACTTCACTCCAAGGTTCATCTTACTACAGAAAATTTAGGGTTTTTATAATATATCCAAATGTCCTTGGGTCGCTGGAATATTCTGGAACGCCACTAAACATAGTAGCACTGTAGTAGCCAACCAATCAGAGCTTCCGCATGTGACGTTTCGCTACCTTGATATTTCTGGCCAAAACTCCAATTGAACGCTGATTGGACGAAACACTTCTTAGTGTTTCCTAATGCTTACTTGTCTTTCGCAAGCGATTTCTGTATCACCCCAACAGAAGAGATATAAATAAACTGGGATGAATGTATTACTAGTCTTTTTAGAAAGCATATCTACTAGCAACTTATAAGTTCTTCGCATTATTGTGAGGTTTTTATAAAAGTTTAACCTTTTCTACTTCTAGTCTAATTCCAAAGTATAATATTTGGTTTCATAATTTTGCACTTCAGGGGAATGTCAATTAAGAAAACGGTTATGATTGTTATTTGTTACCAGATGGCTAACTTCTATATACATTTTCATGAATCGACACATTTTGATTAGATTTTCTTAGTGACCTGTTTTATCAGTATGTTTTACAGTAGGTTATTTTCACTTGTGAATAGTCTGTATTTTCCAAAAATGTACTTGAAATAGATGTCAAAAACTTCTAATAATAACTCACCTGTGAGTAATAAGGCAGTTAGTTATATAGTATGAAGCTAATAACCTGTAGTTCAAGTGAATCGAATTATTCACTAGGAAAACATTTGCTGTGCTACAATATTTGTGGGCCTTATTAAGAATATTGGTTGTTTAATTGTCAACTATAACTTTGTTTCTCAAAGTAATGGTGCTCCAGAATCTTAGATTTTCATGTATATTACTAGTCTTGTATTTATTAAGTGTTCAGTTGACGTAGCAATGTAATCGTTTTTTTCATCCTGTTATACTAAATCAAAATGACGCTATTTCTTCTGTGTTATTTTACGCCTGCCCGTATATCTATTAAGTTATGCAGTTTAGTTTTCGATTACTAGAGGTATTTTAACCATCTTAATTTTAAAAGAAAATGGTTATTATAAGTTTATCAGCGTATACAATTCAAATTCTAGGTGAATATCTAGCTTACTAATGACCTCAACTAAATGTAGCAGGTTTCTGAATAAGTATTATGGGCATATTTGTGTCTATGTCTTTGTTTGGGCACAAATTAACCTCTTGAAGGTTAGCATTCGATTCTGAGAAAACATTATTAAAGTCTCATTCTGCTCGAGGATAACCAGAATGTTACTGAAATATATGTATGGAATGTTATCTGTCCTTTCTATTATTTTTATAACGTGTCGTTTATTCTGAGTCATCAGAGCTGACTGATTAAGCCCATGCTCTGTGTTTACCACAGGACTGAATTGGCAGTGGAACATTTCGAAGTCCTAGCTATTTTTTACTTATAAATTCATCAATTTTCTAGTTTCCACTATGTAACCAAAATTTATAAGATGTTGGATGAAGTTTTTATAAAGCATTTTCTTACTTTCAAAATCACTTGAAAAATGACATACATATATAATTTATTTCTTGTTTTTATATTCTTTAGTTTCAGCAAAAGGAAGAAAACTAACCATAAATGTCTCACCATTGTTTCCAAGGTTTCATAAGTAGTGAGGGCTAAAAGCACGTATCAAAAACATGAAAATCACATGGGTATATTTCATTCTACTTAAACTCATTGAAATTCAGAATTAGCCTTTTTTAGCAAGTATAAGGAGTGATTTACAAAAACAATGCTATTGGTACCTTTAGGTAGAAATTCAAATAACATATTTATCGACCAAAAAGGAGTAAAAATCTAAAGTTCTCTGACAAAATTTAGGGCAACAGTACAGTAAATTTTCAGTCCCTTTCGGAATACACATGTTGTATAAAAAATCAAAACGCAAGACAAATATTAGGTATATCAATCGAATGCTTGTACACGGAAGATTTATCAACCTGATTTTAAATTGGTTTCTATTTACACACAAAAATATCTAACGAAGATGAACCTAATTGAAATTCATTTAAAAATTATTTATATTTTGATACCATTCACTGATTTATGAAATTAAATCCTCTATATAGATGTATTTAACAGGAAGATGAGAAAACAATGGACACTCAAAAAATGTATAGAAGATAAAAATGGGCTACAGAGATTTCAACTCAACGATGTCACAATATTTCTCGGTATATCTATGCTATTACTCGACTAGGAGGCCTTCTGGAGCTAATGTTCTTCCCAAGAACGTGTAAAGGGGGAGGTTTGGGTGTAGAATCAGCAACTTCACTTTATAAAAATAGAATTCATTGCAAAATACGAATCGGAGAAACGCATTAAATTCTGATCTGGGAGTTGAAGTGTATTCATATAAACAGTTTTGATGCTTCATGGTGAAAGGCAAGATGCTTACAAAGTCACGCGGCCGATGCCTCTTCTGGAAAATAGAGCAACAACCAATATAAGAACAAGGATTATCTAAACAATGTGGAAGACAAGGAGAACTATACAAATGCTGAGAATAAGAAGATACAACCTTGTTCTGTTTGAAATAAATGAATTTTAATGGATATAGTGTGGACAAAAAAGACTAATTTCAGGAGACATGCTGTTGTATTTCGGTCACAAAGAAGACCCCCCACATACAAAAGGAATTGAACTGATACCGTCCAAAAAAAACACAAAAGCTTTATAGGATGGAAAACCTACGGCATCAGGATCATCATGACGCCCTTCGAAACAGCAGATAAGATAAAAAAGACCATGTTCATGAGGAGATGCAGTCCATTCTATAGAAATTCCCAAGAAAACACCTGAAAATTTTGATAGGACACTTGAACGTCAGGATCGGGATGGAAAATACCGAGTATGAAGACATTATGGAATGGCATGGACTGGGAGGAAGGAACTAGAGTGGTCAGAAACTGGTATACCTGTGCACTCTCAGCAAAATGCTTAAAGACGCCAGTGATTTCCCCTGCAAATGCATACATACAGCTAAATGGGTTTCACCGGACTACACTATAGAGAGTCAGCTGATTC